CAAAAATAATATGGTGAAGGTATAGCTATCAGGTAACCGATAGATCGCAACTGATTCGTCAATCGATTATCATGCAGTTTTTGGTCGATCGCGATTGTCAGGTAATAGCTATTACAGACGACAAATCACAACAGCATAGGCACCTTCATTGCTAATACAATTTGATATCGCTTAATACTTAATCTCTCCTTCCCGACATCCATTATTCAAGGGGCTCGCAAATGTTAAATGTCTCAAGTTTAACAGGTAGACCATAAATAATATCTTTTGTAATAGTCAGTCATGTTGTATTTAATAATACATTATAAGGTATTTCTCCCACTTCCCTAGCGTGCCTTCGTGGTGTAACGGTAGCACGCTGGGCCGGTATTCCAGAGGTCCGTGGTTCGATTCCCGGCGAAGGCGGTTGCTAATTTTTCATCTCTCTGGCTTCCAAAAATTAACCTAATGTCCCTACAGTGGCGCCCGAACTAAAAGTGTTGTGAATGATGATTCTCCGCACCCAGGATTTGGCGACTAGGTCCCCTAAAATCCTAGTCCCCTTTTAAAAAGGGGAGTATATAAGGTATTTCTCCCACTTCTCTAGCGTGCCTTCGTGGTGTAACGGTAACACGCTGGGCCGGTATTCCAGAGGTCCGTGGTTCGATTCCCGGCGAAAGCGATTGCATATTTTTCCTCTTTTCTGCTTCCAATAAACCTAATGACTCTACAACATAAAAGTTAATTTTAAATTTGAGATAAACTTATTTTCTTAGGCAATTTCCAGGAATAATGTTTTGTTGTTATTTATCATAACATAAATTGTTAATAAAATAACATTCCTGGAAATCTTGAGATATCATCTAGATCGTGTCCACTAATTAATCGTACCACGAGTAAGAAAGCGCCTACTTTCAGCATCTTTTGGCTGAACTTACTACTATTGCCCAATTCTGTTTCAGTTTTAGGGAACAACCAGGGGAAAAAAAACTTCTACTCTCCCTCCCCTATTTTCTTTACCACCAACATCTCAAGAGGTCATTCGGCTCAACGGAATTTTAAGTCTCCCATGCCGCAAATTTTAACGTACAGGGTGGTTATAATGGTTATAATTAAAGTTGCACTTTCAAATAGTCATAAAAGGAAAACGACTGGACAAATGTTATCAAACTTGGTAATCGTGTAGATTTATTTCCCAGAAAAAAGAGTTCAAAAACTTACCACCAGGGAGGAAATGGCGCTGTATGCAATATTGTTAAACGAAATAAGAGTCGGAATTTATCTTAAAATGTAACCCTTAAGAAATATTGACCTGAACAAAATTATCATTTAAAGGCGTTAAAGTCGAGTACGCCATCCGTGTAACGGAGAAATTCGTCCGTGAAAAACCACAAATTAGCTATTAGAAAATGTGAGAGAGCAAATCACTCTCAAAAGCGTGAGCATTGCCGAAATCGTTTTCTAACAGATCGCTAATTTGTGATTTTTGAAACCCGAATTCGGTTCTAAGACATGAAGATATCAGTTTAAAACGCTTTTAATCGTTTCCTAAAACGAAACTGTTTGTCGGGGTGAGGCAAAACCCTTAATGGCTTGTAATTCGCAGGAAGCAGCAAATGATTTGTGCAAATAATCTAAAAATTTGGAGTAATTGGAAGATGCCATACATCGACATGTCGGTAACATTCCTCCTGATATGCTAAGAGCTGCTGTTGAGAATGCAGTAATACGATTTAACTTGATTTCGGAAAATGACGGAAGCCACATTGAACATGCTTTGTAACACGTTTCAAAAACGATTAAACAAATTTTAAACCGATGTCTTCATGTCTTATTTCGCTTAACAATATTACACACAGCTCCATTAATCAGTTTGAGTTTTTGAACTTTTTTCCCGCGGAAAATAAATTCCTATGACCTCCTTTACAAGATTACCATGTTTGAAAACATTTCGTCCAGTATTTTTCCTTTTACGACCATTCCAAATTGGAACCTTATTTATAAACACCCTGTATATTACAAACATCCACAACATCTCTCGGTTTCCATTTTCGGACCCAATAATCTAGCAGCCGGAACCATTAACCAGCATAACATATCAAAGCGGCCTTTACGGAATATTGCTTTTCATATAATTATACAGCAACTAAGCTGGAAAAACATATCGGATTTTTCTAATCAGGTAAACATTTAAATTTCTCTAATTAGCTAAACATCAAACTCTCCTAACATTCTAGCAAGCCTTCTTTCGTCCATACCTTTTAGTTCCTAAAATTTGCAAATTAAATAAAATGAATTAAAAGGAAAGCATAAATGTATTAATTTTAAGATTGATTTCAACATTGAACAGCTGAGAGACATTCTGCAACATTCACTTGGCCAACTTGAACTGCTGAGAGAGCTTTAAATTTAATTTATGTGTAATAAGTTATAGTTCTGCCTGGATGGAAATGGTTTCTCAAGATAAATTAGCGTAAGTTAAAACTCTTCTAATTAATCATTAACTAAAACAGGAGGCAAGTCAAGTTTGTCAAGATTTTCAAGTCGTACTATTGATTGTTATTATGAATAACGTTATTTGAATGTCTATCTGATTGCATGCTGCTGTCATTTCTGTTTATTTTTTGTTTAAAAATTTCAGAAAAAAAGAAAAAGCATCGTTGAAAAATTAGGCAACGATATTGCATGGATTTAAAATCAGAATCTAATTATCTAATCAATGCTAAGGCCGGTACACGAAAAAGGCAATTGGGAGGAATGCCACATTTCTTTCATTTACCTTTCCTATATCACCTAGTGATAACTGGAGAGAGCTTAGAACGATGTTCCATGGCAGATTTAGATCACGTCTTTGCTTAGATTCAAACTATGAACCTTCGAATTACCAGATTTATTTGCTGAGAGTTGCACCATAGAAGACTTGGTAGGGCGGCCCTAAACATCATAAATAAAAAACTGGTTTAAAATAAATTCAAGCTTTCCGTTATATAAACTTATGTTGTTAAACTCTGATGTTTGAGACAGTAACTTACAAAGGAAGATAAACACTAAAGATAAAGAAAGAGTTAGGCGACGAAAGTAATCAAGGCTTTTATAGCTACACATAACTTCATTTGCAATGTTTCTCAGAATTTCAATTCATTCGGTATATAAATACTTACATTTGAGCATTAAAAAGCACACGAACTACTTAGACATAAAATAACATTAACAAAATTAGTAGGTTTGCTCTTTTGCTGTATGAAAATTTCTGGCCATAACTAGAGAAAACAGGCAAATTCATTTCATTTAAAATATCAAAGAATAGGTAAAACTATATATACTTAAAGTATATTTAGTACTTAAACTGTTGGATTGTTTGCATCGAACTTTAGAAATTCCTAATTTTAGAATCTCAGATTCCCTATAATATAAAGATTTATACTGTAATAAATGTAAATAAAAAAAAAAAAGAAATTATAAAGCAAATTGTTGATTCTGTTTAGTTCGTGAATAAAATTACACAATTTTATGTTGTAAAAACAAACAGGCAAATTAATTTCATTTAAAATATCAACAGAAAACAGACAAATTAATTTCAATTAAAATAAAAATAGAAAACAGGAAACTAATTCATTTAAAATATCAAAGAATAGGTAAAACTATACTTAGCACTTTGTTAGATTTATCCTAAGTTTTTAACAGTTAATTTTTAGTTAAAGCCACTTTCCTGTCGCTTCTAATTTCAGCTTACAAATTTCCTGCCAGAATGTGTTTTCAGAATCGATGTTAAATGCAAATGAAGAAAGAGCAAGTATTTAAAGTCGAAGTTCTACTGACTTCGTTAGAGAGCCAGAGATTCTGACCAGCGCTCGTTCGCCTTTTGGCTGTATTCTCTGTAAGCTGTTACTACGCTCGGCCGTATTTCAGACCCTTGAATAGCTTCGCCGTTTAGTTAGCGTTTAAGGAGCCAATTAATGTAGAATTTTAATAACTTCGGCTATATCTTTTTAGTTAAGCTTATTTCTTAGTATTCTTGAGTTCAAGCCCAAGTAGAGGCTTTTCTGTACATCCTGAGAGAGGACCGAGTGTGAACTTTATTTTGAGCAATAAAGATAATCAACCCTTCTTGAATGTCTGTCTTCTGAACTAAAGCGATTATTCGCTGACCAGTTCTCAAGGTTCCCCACATTTAGCTGTAAATTACAGGCTGGAACATTGCAGATTGTTTGCATCGAATTTACAGAAATTCATAATGTTAGAATCTCAAATTTTCCAATACTATAAAGATTTATATGGTAATAAATTTAATTGAAAAAAAAATTGTAAACAAATTGTTTATTTTGTTTACTTTGCGGATCAAATTATTTCAGTGAATTCTAACCTAAAATTATACAATTTCGTGTTGAAAAACTAAAAGTTATGAATTGTTATCAAAATGAAACAAGATTACAAAACACCATATGCTTGCCTTTATGCTTCATATAACATTAGTTTTGCTAATCAAAGTAAGCATAACCTTCGCATGCCACCCAGACGGTATAGTGGTTAGGGGAGCCTACTGCGATACCGAAAGGCTCGCGTTCGTATCCCGGAGAAAGCATGCATATTTGTAAATGTATGGTGTCTTTTCGGCATGGGGGGAGGCATTCTAAACACATGGCGAGCTGAATGTCCTCTCGAGAGGTTGTTGGTAGGGAAACAGGGGGGGTGATAGACGCTCGGACCCATTTCTCGGGGTGCTCTCCATCAAAACTGGGGCGAAACTGAGCAGAGTCGTACTGTCATCTGTATGGTGATCAAGGCTCTTGCCGACGACAGGCGCAATCTTGCTTTCTTTGCCACGATGAATTTCGTGGGCTTGTTCCGATAAGTGAGGTAAGTCACATACACATAACATACAGATCTATTTTCAATACACTTAAGCCTATTTTTAATGTAACGATATTCGTCTTAACACAAGTTAAAAAAAGAGTTCATTTTTATTTGATATTTTTCAATATAGAAATTAACTGATGATATAACAGAACAAAAACACTTACTATGTTCATCATTTTCAAGTGCTTGAACAGAAGAGAGCAGGACACCCAGTAGCAGCAAAAGCATTACTTTATTCATATTGTAATCCTTCAGTCACTTATAAGTTGAGTTGTTTTCTGAAGTTAATATATACTATTATATAAGGAAATAGTATTTTACACAGCTGCATGTCCATTTCACATACATGAAAGGTATTTTAACTTAAATCAGAGGAATTAAATAGAAAAACGCTTCCTGCCTTCAAAATTCTTGCGTCATTATGTTGACACGGAGAATTCAATTCAAGGGTGTAGAACTGCAATAATGAACGAACCTTATTTGCATTTAGTTGATAGCTGACATTTCTATGAATAATTTCCTGAACGCTCATTTCACATACCATTGAAATATACATAAAAGAATAACTGAATAGACTATATATTGTATATTAAATACTTGCATGCATAACTAAACTAAAAGGTTACTTTCGCGACAAATTTAATTTTTTTTTTTTTTTTTTTTTTTTTTTCACTATAATTTTGAAATCAATTGCAAATATTTAGATTAAAAACCGATTGTTTCCTCTTTTATTGAAGTATAAAAGGAATGCAATAAAGTATTTTAGGAGAATATTCATCAGATGAGGCTTTGACATCTCATTAAACATCACCTTAAAAGCAAAATATTTGCACTTTGTTTGTAAAATTTAAAATCAAATTCCAAAAGTTCACCTATAGCAGTTATTAAATTTCTTTCCTACAAATATCACTCATTCAAGGTCTACAAGTTTATTGTATTCTTGTTCTTCTTGTACTTCATGTACGTAGTTCACAATTTCTGTTAGTCTAGAATGCATTCTAACTGCTGCTCCAATAGCATAACATAGAAAAGCTCCAATTAGCACAAAAATAAAAGAAATGATACCTATAATCCAAGGAGCGAGTATATCAGTTGCTAGAAAATATAAAGTACCCTCACCATGCATTTTATTCTAAATGCACACTAATACGTGTATTAGAAGAACTTCACAAAAGCGTAAGGCTGTATGCATTTGACGACCCAAATTTTCAAAAAATCTGTTTTGGTAGTGACAATTCATTTTTATCTTATCTTATTCGGTCGACGTTATCATTTGCATGCATTTGAAACTATCTTATCGTCAAAATACTACCATTGGTTGTTCTTCTGTCACGTTTTTTAATATGTTGATAGCAGACAACCATTTTTTGAAGTTTTTGCTGCAAACAAAATTATATGTGCTAATGAGCACGTCAGTAGACTTGCAGAAATTAGTATAAGACTTTCATTGTGCTATCTACTGATTAACGCTTCTCTTCTCAGCAATTCCCTAAGCGTCAGTCTACCAAATTTTTTAACTGTATGGGAAACAAATTTTTCAAACTACAACCGACTGCGTTGTGGCAACTTACGAATACGCATTACTAATTAACATTAATAAAACAAGAATACTTTGAGTAGAAAGAAAAATTTGAAACAACAAGTAGTGAAGGAATATGTATTTGAATTTAGCATGAAACGATAAAATTGCAGGAACCAAATTTATTATTACTACACTAATTATACTTTCAGAAATTATGTAAACTATCTTTTGTAACACCAAATGATTTGATTGACTGAACTTTTCTTTAGCCCACCAGCGGCCGAGCGGTAAAGACGCTGAACACTGGTAGTTCGGTCTGAGGTTCGAATCCCACGAACGGGCTGGTTGCATGGACGTTTTCGTGGTTTTCCCCATGTGTAACCTGTATACGAGCCAGTTTCCCTTAGAAAGTCCTCCACGAAAGGCATCCCTCCCTTTAGGCAGATAGCCCTCGTGTGCTTTGCCATAACTGAGTATTCCAATATTCCAATTCATTAGCCTTTATGTAAGACAGCATTTTTGGCAATTCCAAGAATAAATTGAGATCTTATGACAATTTAAAAAATTTTAAATCTAACTTCATTTCAAAATATTCATTCAAAATATAACCATTTATATGTATGTATCTTTACTACTTTTCTTTACTATCGATATCTTTTTTTTTTCTAACATTGCAATACTATTTTTAAACGCCATTAATTTGTAAAGCGCAGAATAGATCTAAGAGGCTTCGCTAGAGGAGTTAATTCCATAAAGGGCTCTGTGAGTCAAAAGGTTTGGGAAACGCAGCATTAGATTACCTGTGGATTTTGATCAGGGTGGAAAACGAAGTATACCAGCAAAGAGTAATTCCAAACACTCGTTGTGAATCTATTTTTCATCCTTTTTTCTTTAGAATTAAGACTACAATAGGTTAAATGAGGACATGAAGTTCATACTTTGTGAGAAGTACCTCATTCACATATTATGTATGATGGTTGCGAAAAATTTAATGTCATATCTATTAGAAGAATCGCATGGATCAAGTATTAAATAAAATGATACCAGTTAGAAAGACCTTATATTTTAGACTTAGTCCTACACAAATGTGTTTCAATTCTTACAATTCTTAAGTTAACTACTAGGTTGGGTTCATGCATCATTTATATGCTAAGTACGATATTCACGAAAAATTAAATGTCAGATGTAATCTGAGGGATATAAGAATTCAGTGTTAAATAAAATAGTGTCAAATTGAAATTCGTATCTTTTAGTTTAAGATGGAATAAATGCATTAAAAAAGCTTAGAGACTTATACAAGTAATTGTGATAATAAGTGAAAAATTTAATAAGTTGGGAAACGTTTAAGGCGACAATGTTTCATTTCAATATGTTAAGTAAAGAAAAAATTCATTTCCATAACTAAGTATTAATTCCATGTGTAGTCTAAATTCTCCCTCACAGATATGATTGCAACATGAATCTAACTTAGAAAATGTGTTTCATACTTTGTGAAAAGTATCTCGTTTACCTAATACACATAATAGTTATGATAAATTCATGACATATATTCAAAGAGCTGAAAGAATTCTGCATTAAATTAAATAATGTATGTTTGAAATCTGGATCTTTTATTTTAAGTTAATGTGTTAGAAAAAATTTGAGACTTGTAAAAAATAATGACGATGATTAAAAAGTATTCTGAGATGGAAACTTTTTAAGTAGTTCAAATTTCATTTTCATGCCTGAACATTAATTCTACGTGTCTTTAAGAATTCTTGTCGAATTTTCCCTCACATGTCTGGTCAAACCTAGAATCCAAATAATAGATTACAGTGTCGATATTCTCTACATTTAAAATTTCTTTCGAGCTTTATGCAATAAAGCTCGAGTAGTTTTAGTTATTTGGGCTCTGCAATAGATGGTGGCCTCATGTTAACAATAGCAAATACAATTCCGTATGACGAACATCAAGTTTTAGAGTATTTTTAGTGGTTGAAGATACTATGTGTAAAACAAAATTCGAGGTATTTTGCAAAGTGTTTTGCAAAGTTAGTCGAATATGTGTTAGCAATAGAAATCAGTCAATCTACTAGACAAAAAAGTGTTCCGAGTTCATTCGCTGAAACATTAAAAGCCTAAAAAATCAAAAATACAATATATTTTCCTGTGTATTTAAGCTACACCTGAATAGAATACGCATGTATTGGGTTAAGCAGATTTTGTACCTTGAAATGTTTTCATTCCTGAATTATAAGAGTTGATTCAAAGTCAGTATATCTTCAATAAAGAAATCTACGTAGGTTTATTTACTACTGAAAAAAAAGAAATAAAAATGTAACACAAATATATTTTAAAAGCAAGGAAAAGGTCATCTGTATAGACAGTGAGAAGTGTATAAATAAAATTTATATTTGTTAGACTGTAAGCTTTATCCTAATTTGCTAACAGTTATCTTTTTAGTTAAAGCCACTTTCCTGTCGCTCCTAACTTTAGTGCTTCAAAAAGCTAATAGAATCTGTATCATACACTAGAAGAGAAAACTCTGAGTATTTCTGATGAATTAGTTCCATAAAAATGTAAAGAAATCTAATATTTTTCGTACGTACGCCAATTAAACTTTATAAAGTGACAATGTTAAAGTCGAATTTAAGTTATAAAAAACATTATCTATGAAGTCTACTATAATAAATTTATATTCATATAATTCCAACTTAATTTCGCAAGCAAAGAAATATATGTAAGTTTACTTTTGGAGAAAAGAAAATGTAATATCAGTAAGTATTTAAAACAAGAAAAAAATTTAAACATGAAATGAAAAAATATGGCAAGAAAAAATTAATAAGTGAAAAAAAAAACTTCCATTTGAAAAAATAAAAAAGTGAAAATAAGGAAAAAGTTATTTTGGGAGTAAGATGTAAAGGAAAAATAGTTAACCATTGCAAAAAAATATAAAAAGAAATAAAATAAAAAAAAATTTTCAAAAGTTACATTTGGAACGAATAGACATAAAAAAATGAAAAGTTGTGTTTCGGAACAAAAAAAAAAAAAAAAAAAAAAAAAAAAAGGAGAGGAAGAAAATCCACCTTTGTGGAAATAATAATAATAAAAAAAAACCCTGTAAAAAGAAAGATTTTTTAAAATGAAAAAAGGAAAAAATCGGGAAATAAAGTAGATATCTAAATTTAAAAAGTCAAAATAAAATTAATATTTGTGCAAAAACAATTTAAAAAGCAAAAAGAACAATAAAAATATGAAAGTAAAACTTATTTTTGCCAAAAGGCAAAGCCAAAAACTGATAGGTTCTACTTTGTGTAAGAAAAGAATTCACAGAAAAGATTTAGAAAGATCTTGTATCTTCTTCCTACTGTTCTACTGTAAGAGTTATCCTAAGTTTCTAAAAGTTAATTTTAGTTAGAGTAAGGTTTGTAGAGACATTAAGTTAATTGAAAGCAGGAGCGATGAAAAATGAGCAACGCCTTAGCCGGAAATCGAACCACGGACCTCTGGAATACGCGCCCAGTGTGCAGACCACCACACTACGAAGGCATGCTAAGAAGGCGGGAGAAATACTTATAGGTTTATCCCAAGTTTCTAACGGTTAATTTTAGTTAAAGCTACTTTCCTGTCCTTCCGAATTTCAGCTTAAAATTTCCTACCAGAATGTGTTTTTAGAATCGCGTTAATGCAAATAAGTAAAAGTGCTATTTAAGACGAAGTTCCACTGACTTCGGGAGAGAGCCTCAGAGTTTCTGACTAGCGCGCTTTTGCCTTTCGGCTACGTCCCTCTCTAAGCTGTTACAACGCTCGGCCGCATTATACAGGCCCTTAATAGCTTCGCTAGCTTATTCGATATTTAGAGGCCACCTACTTAGGATTTTGATAGCTTCGGATATATCTTTTTAGTTAAGCATTAGTTAAGTCTTATTTCTTATTACTTTGAACTCAAGCCCAAGTCGAGGCTTGCTGTACGCCCTGAGAAAGGGGCGATTGTTTTAATTCTTATTTTGGGAAATAAAGGGTAATTAAACCTTCTTGAGTTTACGTCTCAGTTCCTGAGCTAAAGTGATTATTCACTTAACCGTTCACAAGGTTCCTACACATTTAGCAGTTTGATAAAAGGGTGCACCCTATACTATTATAGATTATTACTATAAATAATTACATACCTTTAGATCATTCGCTGAAGTAAAAATAAAATTAAACGTAAAAGAAGCATTTAAGTAGCTATGGGCGCTTTTCTTCCCCTACAGTTTTAAACTTGCTTCTAAAAAGAGTCACCTTCCCAAGGTGTTGACTAGTGAGAATACTGTATAAGTCTTGAATCTGAAGTTCTGTCTCACTCGCGAGTTTTAACAGACAGAAATAAACATTGAACATGAGTACTGCTGCGTTCTTCTTGTTAGCAACTTGACCATTTCCAATTATAAAAAATCTGATGTGTACACCCCATGACTTCCTTGTACGGAATATTAAATTATACTCATTTTTTCTTTCATTTCATTTAAACTTATTGGATTGAATTAAATCTACTTCGCCGACAGCGCAAAAACCACAATAGAATAATTGCATTCTTTAAAATTAACTCTAGTATTTGTTTACCATAGCGAAACTCTGGCGCTAGATTCACTTAACAGTATTAATAATTATATAACAGTTAACTTATATAATAATTATATAACGGAAACTAAGTTAACTGTTATATAATCCA